AGGCCGATCACGCAGCAGGGAATCGCGATCTGACGCTGATCGCGCGCCCAGAGATCCTCGGTCGTCAAGGTTGGCGGCGGTCCAAGTGAAGGGAAGCTCTGCTTGAGTCATCCTCAGTTGTTGTCTTGAGTGCTGGAGGTGACTACATCCGCTAACCTGATAATGGCTGACGTGCGAAGGGTTGTGAGTAATATAGTAATCTCTGTAAACTTCAATTAGTGGTCCTGTTGATTGGTCAGCCCATGCGTAAGTGGCAAGCGATTTGTCAGGAGTTTGGCCGATAGAAATGTAAAAAGGTGTTTATCACTAGGCTGCATTCAACATATCTACTCTTGTCATTTGAATGCTCGATAACGGTGTTGGATTCGCCGATTAACACCAGAAAAGTGAATTTTTTCTGGCTCAGTATTGTCCCTTTCCCACAAAATCAGCCTAGTTCCGCCTTTTTACCAAATGGCAAAAACAGGCAAAACTAAGAAAGCATAGTCAATGCATCACTTCTTGCAGAGCGAGAGTAGGAAATATTCTTTTCACAAAAATAATTAATTCCAAAAATGTTTACACAATCCCACTCAGACATGCCCGTTGTAAGTCCTTGAGATGGGCACGAAACACGCCAGCCTGCAAACACGCGATATATTCATGTGAGGAAATACATCTGATACCCTTGCATCCCACAGAACAATGACAGGGGAAAGCATTTTGGCGAATTCTGAACTCAAACTTTACAATTGATATTATTATGATAAGTGACGATCGATGATTGATTACCGTGCGACCATGACCAAAATATAGTTGGTTTGTCAGAATCCGAGTCACATCGACAGCGCCTTCACAGCAGTATTGGCTGTTAGGTCGGGACATGCAACAGGCCTTTTGCTTGCGTTTCCAAATGACCTGTGAAATTATTGGATGTGACACCATTCTAATCCACGATATCAAAACAAACAAATTTGGGATGCGGTTCTTTGGATCTTTTGTGAGCTTTTTGGTTTTTTAGGTGAGCATATTTGATAAAGTGCTTGAATAAATTGAATTTTTAAAGCATGCATTTTGGAAAGCTCCGCATGCTATTAAAGCCTGGAAGGAATTTGTGTATATTTTTATTGTACAAACTGGGAGCGTCACTACGCATCCCGTAATGATGTTCAGACATCGCTAGCGGCGTCACTATATTAAGCGAAACGGATTTTCTTGCTTGCTTCAAATACCAGCTCTCAATCAAGTGTAGCCTTCCAGCTGAAGACCTGCAGATCGGCTCCACACGGCATTGAAACGGAAAAAGTCAGACGGACATGGGCAATCGCTGATTGAAAGTGGTTAGGGAGAAGTTGCGCCCTACAAAAGCTCACAGCAGGTTAATCTGCCCCTTCAGGAAATGTTGAGTGCAAAATGCTAATACCTCCAGCCCAGC